TTGTTCCTTAAGGTCCCACTGTTTTATTTTTGCTCTATCTCCCCAAATCCCAACCCCCTCCAGTGATGGGGGCCATTAACCAGAGCTTTACTGTAGTGACAAGACGCCAATTCCTAGGCTCTGTGGAACATATGCCTCTTTCCAGAACACACCCAAACAATTAACACATTTCTAATGACATAATTTAAAAACTCATCGAAACAAACAGCATAAACGATTCTTATTCTCAGGAAAAGCCTGGCGGGGCAGGCTTCTAGCTATACTGCTGTCCCCAGTGCCTACACGAGACTTCCAGAAATGCTCTTTGTGACTCACGTTAACACTTATTAGTAAGCAGCAAGCACTCATTAAACTGACATCGGAGACTTCACAAAATAACGGTCTGACAAGAGCAAGAGGACATTTGATTTGATGCAGTGAGCCCTCATCAGTGCTGTTCACCTGCATCTAGGACTCATCATAAAAAACATGAAGTTTTCAAAGAGGCTCTCTGATTATGAGTTGCTAATATGTCCCGTGTAGTTTTTAAAACTGTCAAAGCTTTTGAAAACATCCCACAACAAAAGAGAAGTGGGCTACTTAAAAGCTGATTTGCTTATCGAGAAACCTGGAAAAAGGGGAGGAAATGAAATAAGACCTTGCATTTTAAGTTGGCGTCCAATGACAAAAATTGCAAAAGGAACCTGGTGCTAGATGCTCGGTCCGAGATCCGGTTCCAAAAAGTTTAGAGCAGAGATGAACTTGCAGAACCAAGACCAGCAAGTGACCGTAGAACAATGAATATACAAAGCACTATATGAACACCAGCCAGAAAACTATGGGGCTAGCTGGCTGGCCGTGGTGGTTTGCAAGAGAATGGCCCCTTAGGCTTATGGTAGTTGGTGATCAAATTAGGAAGGATTGGGAGGTGTGTTTGCCCAGTGCCTCTGTGGATAGGATGTAAGCTCTCAGTTACTGCTCCAGCGCCATGCCTGCCTGTGCTACCAGCCACACTCCCCAGCATGATGGTAATGGATAACCCTTCGACTCTATAAGCCAAGTCCCCAGTTAAATGCTTTCTTTTATAAGCTGCCTTGGTCATGGTGTCTACTCACAGCAATAGAAAAGGCAATGACACTGACGCATAGCCAACTCTTGAAGGTAGGCACAGAATATATGCCAGGCTCCAGAACATCAAAGAAGCAGTGGGAGAAAAGAAGAGGAATAGTTTATTTGCACTTTAAAAATTGCTATTAATTTGCACGACTGACAAGTTTTGCTTCACACTGGACAACCTGACATAAATTAACTTGGATGTGAGGTTTTGTAAAATTAAAAATGAGAGCCGGGCGATGGTGGCGCCCGCCTTTAATCCCAGCACTTGGGAGGCAGAGGCAGGCGGATCTCTGTGAGTTCGAGACCAGCCTGGTCTACAGAGCTAGTTCCAGGACAGGCTCCAAAGCCACAGAGAAACCCTGTCTCAAAAAAAAAAAAAAAAAAAAAAAATTAAAAATGAATATAAATCAAGTGGTTTTTTTTTTTTTTTAAATCTCAGCCACATTTTTAGTTAATGAAAGTCAGCATGACCCCCTGGACTGCATAATGATGGCTGGGTTAGCAATGGGGTCTCAGTGATACCATGGCTGTCCTTGGGTCATAGTGCAACATATCACTCACAACCATGGTGAAAAGTACAGTACATGCTTTTACATCTAGTACAGAGTATTCACCAAGTAAATAATCAAATGATATAATTAACCATGCATTTATTATACTACTATACCGTATTGTTTAAAATCATGATTTTAGAGTACACTTTTGTTGTCATTGCTGTCAGTTTGTTTGTTCGTTTTTTGAGGCCGGGCCTCCTGTAGCTTAGGCTGGCCTTGAACTTATGTGGCTGAGGAAGACCCTGAATTCCTGATCTTCTTGTCTCTGCCTCCCAACTACCAGGATTATAGGTGTGTAGCATGTTCCTTCTTGTTACAGGGCGATGTTAACTGGAAAACGGTCTCGGACTCGTCCTTCCTGTCCTTCAGAAAAGGCCTGTTGGGCACCGGAGAGCTTCAGGTGTGCACTGCCCTGAAGACCTCCCAGGGGAAAAATTGGGGAATGACAGGGATGGTCCTGGCTCGCAGGGAGTGAGTGTTTTCGTGTCTTAGTTTTAAAGAAAAAGTTTAAAAAGTAAAATATGAAAATAAGAGTAGATTAAATTTTTTAAAAGCTAATAGAATAAGGACAGGAAGGAAAATTGAATTTATATGGTAAATAACATGTTTGTATTTTAAGCTGTTATAACAAGAATCAAAAAGTTGAAAACAAAACAAAACCAGTCCCTTAAAACCAGTCTGCCAACCAGGCAGTGGTAGTGTACTCCTTTTGAGTTCGAGGTCAGGCTGATTCACAGTCTGACTTCCAGGACGGCAAAAGCTACACAGGGAAACCCTGTCTCAAAATAAAAAAAAAATAAAAATATAAAAAACAAACAAACAAAACAACAAAAACCAAACAAAGTCCTGCAGTCCCTCTCACAGTCGTGTCCTGCTCAGGAGCGACACTCTTCTGTCACTAAATCTCTTGTGCAGCGAGAGGCACAAACGCCCTGACGTCACTAGCGTGCAGAAGACATCACACTGCATGCCTTTAGCCCAGGGGCCACAGGTGGCACCAGACAGTGTGGGCGGCTTTGCCAACAATGAATCCGGCTACTGCTACAATGCAGAACTGCTAGCAATGGTTACTCCATTTGGTAAAACTCCTCTATTTTGGTTAAACAATGACAATTTCCAAGCTAAAGCCACTAGGTTCTGAGAACTGAAGTAACCTGTTTGTCTAGATGCTCACCCTCTGTGCCCTATGGACCCTAGGAACGGGTGACTAGGAAAGCTGCTTACCTAGCACGTGCCCTTCTCACTGCTCACCTTACTTCCCTAGCGACCCCTAGCAACTACCTGCCATAAAGGGGAGATTTTCAGTGGCCTTCCTCCTTTCCATTTTGTGGTCTATAACTAACTACTCTAGCCCATAAGCCAATAGACTCTGATTCTTACGCCAGAGCCCCCCTCAGTGGGTCATTTTCCAACCAAGGCCTGCGCTGTCTTATGAGTCAGTCTCTGACTCCCATCTTGATGGTCTCACAAGAACACACATCCCTCAAGCGGTGAATGATGGTAGGTAGCATTCCTCCAAACCACAGCTTAGTTAGGTACAAGGGTAACAAAACAATGTTAAAGCCTCAGAAATAACCCAACTAGAAGTGGTAGACCAGTAATCTTCTGGAATCAAGATTCTTTGTCTAAATAAATAAAGTGATAATAAACTAAGAAAACGGGCCTCACCTAAATCCAAGGATACCGGTATTAGCCATCACATAAGCCAAGCCAAGGATGCCACTTCCCATGATGGCGTTCATCACATTAAAGACTGAGAAACCAAAGGAAACACCTGGGGATGCCTGCCGGTGAGGTTCCTGTAAACATACAATTTAACTACTTTAAAAGTCTGTCGAAACACCACTGTCAAATTACGGAGCTGATATACAAGCCTGAGGATCTGTGTGTAGGACTAACTAGCTAACCAGGACAGGGTTAGCTCTTCTGTTGTGTAACACAAGCGAGAGTCATCTGGGAAGAGGAAACCTCAGTTGAGAGGATCCCTCATTAGACTAGCCTGTAGGCAAGCCTATGGGGACCATTTTCCTGATATGGAATGGCATGACCCACTTTGGGTGGTTTCCACCTCCTCGTTCCTGCCCTGGTTTCTCTTCATGACGGCTGTAGTTGTAAAATGGAATAAACCCGTTGTTCCCCAAGTTGCTTTTGCTCATGGCCTTTGTCACTGTCACACCAATAGAAAGCAGATTTGGATACAGCACTTGGTCCTTTCCTTTTCACCTACTGGTGCAACTCGAGGAACCTAGTCTCCCAGAAAAATTACCTCCTCCAGTACAGGGCCCAGGCTGGCTTTCCTAGGAGCCGTGGCCTTTCTAGTGACTTGAATTCAAGAGATTAAGATAAGGGAAGCAGAGGGTGGAGACTGAGGAAAGGAAGAGGCCTTAGCTCACGTGACTCCTGAAGAATCCCAGTGTCAGCTTGGAGCTGCTGTCCGTAACTGTTCCTCCCCAAGTCCTAGGGCTGCAAAACTAACCTTTTATTTATATACCTAGTGAATTAAGTCTGCCCAGCACGGATCATCACAGGGACAACAGAAGCAAACTATCAACTGTCACAGTCCAAGGATTCAGTTGAAACGTGGAGCCCCAGGACTGAAAAGCAGTTCTGGGTTAGGTTGTCTAGCATGCCCAAGGCCCTGGGCTGGACCTTCAGCACCTTAGAGGGGGCTGGGACCTTGGGGCACACACAGTGTACTACATCTGCTTGAGGTTAAGGACGAACTATGTGCATATTAACAGATCCCTCTCCTCGTTTTTACTCTCGTGGACTTCGGTATTAAAGTGCCTTCCGCTCACCTTTCCCTTCGCCCGCATGATTAAGTCCAGAAAAGAAATCTCTCGATTACTGTAAAGATCTCACAAGACTAGAGGAAACTGAAAGGCTACAAAGATACAAAACAACTGTGAGTCACCAAGTCCTAGCTCATCCCGCTGGTGTCCCAAGCCCCACTCTCGACTCAGGGCGCCAAGCTGCTAGCACATTCCAAACTCGGCTGGGGTCAGTGGTTCGAGTCCCACCCTGGGGTCCATCCCCTCCCCCCAACCTCCAGTCCAGAACTCTTCTAGCAAGCTCTGAAGGATGCCGCGGCGCACCAGCCCCGCGCTGCTAGCGGAGCCCACTTACGTTGCTTAGCAACGGGCTCCACTCTTCCGCAGCCGCCGCCTCCTCGGGCTGCTGGGCAGAGACGTACCATCCCGGCTGGGCTTGGATGCTGCCCTGAGACGCCTGCATGCTTCCCCGCTCCCGACTACCAAGTCCATCAGCGATCCTCTGGCCCGGCCCCACTCGCCCCGCTGAGTCGCGTCAGGGGCGGAGTTACGGGCCTGGCCCTTCCGGGTTCCCGTAGCTCACCGCGGCCGGGAAGAGTGGAGCTAGTCCGTCCACGAGACCTGACTTTACGCTCCCTCTGCGGCCAACAGTGATGACGTCGCCGAGAGCACGCCCTCGCTTTGAAGACCCATTTCTGATCTGCACCAGAGCATGAGGTGAGTGAGGGTTCTGGTCCCTAGCCGGCCTCGATGACGCTGGCCTTGGGAAGGTGAGGCTGATGAGGGGTCCTCCGTGTCCCGGGTTATACGAAAGACCTGACGGTCAGCCAGCGGCAGAACTCGTGCTCTCATCTCCCGCCCAAGGAGGCGGAAAAACCACCAGGCCGTTTATCTTCTTGGTCAACCGGCTGCTAAGTAAGCCAAGACCCTTGGTGAGGATTGGGGTATAGCCCAGTGGTTGAACGATTGCCTAGCATGAGTGATGCCCAATATTAGGATCCCAGTACCAAAAATCTTTTCATGAGTCTTTCTTCACATTTTCTAATGATAAATGGACACCTAGAATTACTCGCTGTCAGTGTAGTTCATTAAGTACTAGTATAAACCTAAACTTCATTGCTTTATATTATAGGGATCTCTGACGGTACCCTTTGCCACTGGTTTGGTATTTTAAAAGATGAAGTGAATAATTAATAGTGTGCTTCAAACACCCGGTCGAGCCTCGACATTCAAAATACCGAAGCCTTTCCTTATAGGCAAGACACGTGGCAGTACAGTATGAATGACGTCCTGGCAATATACTGAGGTCATGTGGAAGGGGAGGACATCTCACTTATCCAGACTGACCTGGACGGTTGCCGAGCCTCCTGCCTTCCCTTCTGAGTGGAGTATTGGAATCAGAGGCCTGCAATGCTGAAAGCCCATGGGTTTGTGTGTGCATACTAGGCAGACACTCTTCTAGCTGAGCTGTGTCCCCAGCTCTTAAGGTCATTCTTGAGCAAGGATTTTGTTTTTTGAACTTGGTCTCAAATGCTGGCCTTGAACTTTTAGTCTTCCTGCCTCTCTATTGCTGAGATTACAGGCAGGCACCACCATGATATAAGTGAGGCTGGGGATAGACCCCAAGGCTTCATGCACGCTAGGCAAGCCGCCTCTTAAGCCTCGCTGAACCGCTTACAGCCACATAACTTTGGGTGGTTGACTTACTCCCTAGCTTACAAACAAACTTCATAATATAGCTTCTGATACAACAGCCCATAAGAATATCCTAGGAAGTTTTGCCATTGGTGGCATCATCTGTTGTAGCCATTTCATTTAGAGGTGCCCTTTTCTCAGCTTTAACACAATTCTATATGTGTTCCATAGAAATTGTGAATGAGGTCATTGAGTGTAGGAGGTTGCTGGACAACTAGTCCTTCTGTTACAAGGGCAAGAGGACTGAAGATGGAAATTTGTTGTTTAACCAATGACAAAGATTGTACCGTCCAGCAGGAGAGTCTGTCTTCCCATGCCATTCTAGCTTTCTCTTAGCTCTTAGCAGGTGATTTGAAAGAGAATTTATGTTTTCATTCTCGAAAGCCTCTGTGAATGTCGTCATAGGTAGTTTGATGGTGTTTTTTAAATCTTCCTAGAATCTTATGGAAGCCATTCGGATTCTCAAGAAGACTTCTGCAAGGAGCACGGTGTCACCCCAGTGAATCAGTATCTCTGTCTGCATTGACAAGGAGGACGTTGGTACCGAGGCTTAGGAAAGCACCTAGCATTTTGTGGTTGGGTCAAAGACAAGGATTCTCAGCCATGCCAGAAACAGAAGCAAGTGTGAGAGATACTGAACTATTTTCCCCACCCTCTGAGGTGCGAGGAATGACAGAACTTGATAGAACAGCTTTTAAAAAGACGGTGTCCATCCCAGTGCTCAAAGTGAGAAAAGAAGTAGTCAACAGGTTGATGCGAGCCCTCAAGAGGGTGGCTCTGCAGCGTCCGGGCATAAAGCGTGTCATTGAAGACCCTAATGATGGTGATACTAGACTGATCATGTTGGATCCCTTCAAAATGCTGACCGTTGATTCCTTTGAGAAAGCAGAACTCGGTGTTTTAGAAGAACTTGCTGTCAACCCACAGCTGTCCGAATACAATTTGGAGCTAACTTACGAGAATTTTAAATCAGAGGAAATTTTGAGAGCTGTGCTTCCCGAGGGTCAAGACGTGACCTCGGGGTTCAGCAGGGTTGGACACATTGCACACCTGAATCTCCGAGATCATCAGCTCCCGTTCAAGCATTTGATTGGTAGGTGTATTATAGTCGGATTCATGTTCTAAGAAAAGAAGAAGAAAAGACTAGTTCTGATTTCAGTGCTTAAGTTTCTATTTTAAAATGCTAACTTACAGAAGAAAGGTAGTTTTGTTTTAATTTGAAGCCAGATTGTAAGCACCACCCATGTTTTTGAAGGGCATTTTGGATATATCTTCTCCGTAGTCACAGGATTGGCATAGACTTTGGGTCTCCCATCACAGAAAAGCTCTGTTCTGTATTGAACATAATTCTTTCGGTCCAAAAAGCCATTAGGCCTTTGGGATGATGTTCAGCACTAGGTTTCAAAACTTCCTGTGTTTTAGAGTCAAATATACCATGCCATTCATATGCTGATTCAGGTAATTAAGCCTCCTCTTTATGTGAAGCACTTTAAAACATTTTAAGTGTTCCCGAGAAGCTGGGAAGTAATGTACACTCTACTATTGTAGCTACATGGAGACCCAAGGCCTTTATTCTTTAGACAGAAGACTAATCAAAATTATATTTTATATAAATACTCAGTGTCCATGCATTCTGTAGATTAGTACTCTTTTAATATAGTAATTTTCAAAACTTGGGGCCAGGTGGTGGTGGTGCACACCTTTAATCCCAGCACTCGGGAGGCAGAGGCAGGTGGATCTCTGTGAGTTCGAGGCCAGCCTGGTCTACAAGAGCCAGTTTCTGGACAGGCTCCAAAGCTACAGAGAAACCCTATCTCAAAAAAAACACCCCCCCCCCCCAAAAAAAAAACCCCAAAAAAATCTTGTGGGGATTATTCTCAGTTTTAAAATGCAGTATTTAGTGTTTTGCATGGTTAGGGCTTGAGGATGCTTTTCTGCATCTCTGCTCCTGCACAGCAGTGAGTAGGGACTAGGTGCGGCGTCAGATGTGGGCTTTCATGTAGTACCTGCCTACCCCAATGCACAGCATTCTGTGCCCATTCTTGCTTTTTAGTTTTATGTAAAGTATACGGGGTGTTAAAAATAAAACACTCTGGCCTGAGATACAGCTCAGCAGGCTTACCAAATAAAGTGCAAAGCCCTAAGTTTTAGCTGTGGAGTTTTAGAATTACTTTTAATGTTTTTAATTTCATTTAAAATTAACTTCTATGTCTCAGAAGTTAGTGGAAGGCAACAGAGCCGTGACTATGGGCAGCACAAACTGGACTTGGACTTGATGGATGGGGGAAAAAAGGACAAAGTTGGGTGGGGAGGGGAGGAGGATGGATCTGGGAGGAGTTGGGGAGGGGAGTTAATAGCCTCAAAACTCATTGTACAAATTCTCAAAAAAAATTTTTTAATTGAGATCAGATATTTAAAGCAGAACACAGTAAGCAAGCCATTGTTTCATTATCTTACCATATTCTGAGTTCTGAAATTCTCATTGTATTCCAGCGAATTTATATTCAGTACATTTTACTAACTTACAGCTGCAATTCTTTCCTTATGAAATGATTTTTACATAATTTTGAAATGTTGACGAAAAGACCACAGGTCCTCAAAAAATATTGTAATGGTGCCCATACGTACTCTTTGTACTATGGCTGTCAGTCATTAGCTTATCTCTTTGTTTTTTAGAATTGTAGGCAAAATTATACACACCAAGTACAGTTTTTATTTGTAAACCAAAAGAAAATGTAATTAATTTCTGTTAAGTATTTTTAATTTTAATTTCACAAACAATAAGCAGTATATACAATGAATTTTCACTTTTAGGTCAAGTTATGATTGACAAAAACCCAGGAATCACCTCTGCAGTAAATAAAACCAGCAATATTGACAATACATACCGAAATTTCCAAATGGAGGTGTTGTCTGGAGAGGAGAATATGCTGACCAAGGTACTGTGCCGTAACACCAACCCAGAGTGAACAGACAGCTGGTGTTCGGAGTCCAGGCAGCACATGTTCATCTACCCAGGGTTGAAGTGCTGTGTAAGACTGCACAACGTGGGCTGGAGAGATGGCTCAGTGGTTAAGAGCACTGCCTGCTCTTCCAAAGGTCCTGAGTTCAATTCCCAGCAACCACATGGTGGCTCACAACCATCTGTAATGGGGTCTGATGCCCTCTTCTGGCCTGCAGGCATACACACAGACAGAATATTGTATACATAAAAAATAAATAAATATTAAAAAAAAAAAAAGACTGCACAACTTGTGTGCTCTCTCCAGAGGACTCCGTTAAATCCTGCTATCTTGCTAGTGGAGCAGTCCATCAGTAGAGTCCTAGCTCTCTGTAGTGCAGGGATTGCCCATGGACAGTGCATGACAGTGACAGAAACACTGCGGAACTGTGTGTACAAAGTCGTTCTTGAGACATCCACCTGCCGGGTTATTCCTGGGCAGTTGGGGCACGGGGTGTGGGGAGGAGGTTGGGGTGTGTGTGTGGGGGGTAGACACTTAAATGTTTCCAGCTCTGGCCAGAAGCACCTGGTGCTTCTCCGAGGGGAGAAGGTAATATACCAATATGAGATTAGGGCCCAGGAAACAGAAGAAAGACATAGCAGATTTGTCCAACTTAGGAACTTTCTGGTCTTTGATTCTTTGTTCATAAAACAAGGGGCTTAAAATATCTAATTTATAGACATGAAATTTGTAAAATTTCAGTAATTGTCATCTAAAAACATAGATACCTCAAATTCTAACATATCTCCTCCCTTTGCTCGCTGCGTGAAGTGCTCTGTGAGAGGGAGGTTCAGATGCTTCATGCTGTTTTCATCCTTCATCTGCTAACATAAGCCAGTTGGTTGGCCTCTCTACAGCATTCCTCATGGGAATTGGAATCAACTTATGGCCCTTTAGGATGGGAACAACTATTTGGCTTTGGAGAGCTGACTTTTCTCATGGAAAAGGTGAATGCAAGATATTAACTGGCCGCAGGAATGGTATAAACACCAGGATTCCAATCAAAATGTTTTTAAGTGAAGTTATTTGTTCCTGTGATAGTAACATTTACATGTGTGTTCTCATGTGTGCATACATAACCTATCCTGTTTCAGTGAACAGACTTTAAATCCTGTGAGATTAACTAAAAACATGCTACCCTTCTCAGGTTCGAGAAAACAACTACATGTATGAGTTTGATTTCTCCAAAGTCTATTGGAATCCTCGTCTTTCCACAGAACACGGCCGGATCACTGAACTTCTCAATCCTGGAGATGTCTTGTTTGATGTTTTTGCTGGGGTTGGGCCCTTTGCCATTCCAGCAGCAAGGAAAAACTGCACCGTATTTGCCAATGATCTCAATCCTGAGTCTCACAAATGGCTGTTGCACAACTGTAAACTAAATAAAGTTGACCAAAAAGTGAAAGTCTTTAACATGGATGGAAAAGACTTCCTCCAGGGCCCAGTCAGAGAAGAATTGATGCTTCGGCTCGGACCGTCAGCCGAAGCAAAACCCTCTGTCCACATCGTCATGAACTTGCCCGCAAAGGCGATAGAGTTTCTCAGTGTTTTCAAGTCCCTCCTAGATGGGCAGCCGTGCAGCAGTGAGCACCTCCCAACAGTGCACTGTTACTGTTTCTCCAAAGATGCCAATCCTGCTAAGGATGTTTGTCAGCAAGCTGGAGCTGTGTTAGGCATTTCCTTGGAGGTGAGTAGTTCAGTTCACCTTGTGAGAAATGTGGCCCCTAACAAGGAAATGCTGTGCATCACCTTCCAGATTCCTGCCGCGACACTCTACGGGAACCGGGCCCTGAGTCTAGGTGAGCAAGTTCTTCAGACTGGAGCTGTGTGTTGTGGGGTGTGGGTGGGTGTGGCTCACACCTGCTCATACATTCACGTGTGCGTGTGGAGAATTTGGAAGTGGGGAAATTACAGTAGCTTCAGTCATTTTGTGTGTGACACCTTGCCACTTAGTTTAGAGTTCCTCAAGTTTTAGCATGGTATGTGGTTTAGTCTAATGGGTTTGTTTTGTTAAAATAATTAATCCACAGCAATGTTTTTGAAGTTGACTGAATAGAAAAAAAAATCTTAATATTTTTTTAAATTCAATTGTTATTCAATTGCTAAAAATCCTCTAAAATGGGCTTTCTGAATCTGTTACAGAGAATTCTGAAGAGCCATCTCTGAAACGGCAGAGGACAGATAATTCCTTCTCAGAACCACAAATTACATCAGATTCTTAGCTTGAAAACTTTTCTACATCTCCCCAGTAAATTTTTTGTGAAGAAGTACAATTTGTATGATTTTGTAAACTTTAAATATTGGGTATTTGTTATTGAACCCTTATGTTTTGCTCTTACAAAGGGAACATTACCAAAGTAAAATTTAACCAAAATAAGCTGAACTTGTATAATAGACTGTTCTGTTGTTGGAATTTCAGGCACGCACCACCATTATCCAGTATAGTTTTCAAATAGAATTGGTATGGGCATGGAAGATGGCTCAGAAGGTAAAGGAAGTTGCTGCCAAGCCTGGGGACCTGAGTTTGATCCCTGGAACCAACATTTGAAAGGAGAGACTCCTGAAAGTTTCCCTCTGACCTCACGCATGCGTCAAGGCACTCGTGCGTGCACACATATGCAGAATAAAATGAACTCATTAGTCTCAATCATATAACAAATTTAATCCAAGTTATTTTTATTAAATAAATGCACTTTCAGTAGCGTCTGTCCCTTGGAAAGAGTTTTTAAAGATTGAGCGACTATATTCTGCTTAACTAGGGAAGCATTTAACTACATTGTAGTTATTAGTGAAAACACGTGATTGATTTATGCAACTTCTCTACTACCAATTAGCAGTATAAAAGTAACACAAAATTATTTAGATGAGGAATAGGAAAACTACATCTGCCAAGTCACATGTGGCATAATGGCCTATGGCATGAGGATTTTCTTACATTTTCATGATTGAAAAATATTTTGTGACATGGAACTTACATGAAATTTGAGTTTGGGGTTTTGGTGCATGAAGTTCCATTGGCACCTGCCCTCCCTGTTCGTTTTCACACTGTCTACAGCTGCTCACGATCGACACCGGAGTGGAACAATTGCAACACAGACCTCGAGGTGACACTCATGGCCGTACTGCAGCTTGGCATGCTACAGATCCTAGGGACATGGTTGTGTCTCAACAGATAGCATTTCAAATGGTCTGTCCATAACCAGGCTACACATTGTTGTTTGAGACAAGAGTCTCATATTATAGCTCAGTCTGACCCAGAATTCACTGTATAGCCCAGGGTGGACTTGAACTCACAACAGCCCTCCTGCCTCAGCCTCCCCCCATGTGCTAGGATTACAGGTGAGTCACCAAGCCCAGCTTCACAAGTTTCCTCTTTTTGTAAGTAGTGCATACTCATATATCAGGATAAATGGATCTTGGGGATGTTACGCTTTGACAGTTCAGTGGGGTATAAATCATTTTGATATCACTTAGATAACAAGGCATCTATACCCTTGACTGAAAGAAAGGGAGAAAGAGAGAGAGAGAGAGATAAAGGAAGGAAGAAAAAATGAAAATGCATTGTTATTACCACACCAAGTGCCTGTCTGTACTTTTAGATAATTCACAAAAATTCAAAAACCTCAGCCAGAGTAGCAAATAAAACAAAAATAAGGCTATAACTTACTTTTAAGTCTCCAAATGACTTTGAGCCAATTAAAGAAAGCCATTTACTCTTCCTGAGTGAATTGTGTTTTGAGTGCAGCAACTGAAGAACTGTGTCCAGAGAAAATAAACATGTTTAAGAGGATTGGCCTCTGGCGAGAACAGTTGTTCAGCTCAGAACAGAGGGAGCACTGTCAGTAAGCAACTGAGAAGGTGAACAATTCTGCCCTGGCTTTGAAGGGGCTGACAGATGTTGCTAATACTGCCCAGTTCTTTGAAGCTTTGAGACCAGGCTTGGAATAACTAAAGATTAGCCACCGTGACTGCTCTCTGCATGGAACTGGAAATGAAAATGAAGCTTCAAAACACGCTATCATGTACAACTAAAGCAGAATCTGCTAAGTCTCTAATAAATGATTTTTTAAAGTATGTGGAGCAGAGGGCCTAGTTGGAGAAAGCCCGTGAGAGTGTCAGAGTTTAAAGGTTATACCTGCTGACTGTGTTATCCTGCAAGTGCCTTGTGAAAAGGCTGCGGTCTCTCAGACGTGGCTGAGCGAGCTGTATCTGGGAACCCTCATCTGCTTTCGTGACTAACAGTCCTCTCAGACGTGGCTGAGCGAGCTGTATCTGGGAACCCTCATCTGCTTTCGTGACTAACAGTCCTCTCAGACGTGGCTGAGCGAGCTGTATCTGGGAACCCTCATCTGCTTTCGTGACTAACAGTCCTCTCAGACGTGGCTGAGCGAGCTGTATCTGGGAACCTCATCTGCTTTCGTGACTAACAGTCCTCTCAGACGTGGCTGAGCGAGCTGTATCTGGGAACCTCATCTGCTTTCGTGACTAACAGTCCTCTCAGACGTGGCTGAGCGAGCTGTATCTGGGAACCCTCATCTGCTTTCGTGACTAACAGTCCTCTCAGACGTGGCTGAGCGAGCTGTATCTGGGAACCTCATCTGCTTTCGTGACTAACAGTCCTCTCAGACGTGGCTGAGCGAGCTGTATCTGGGAACCCTCATCTGCTTTCGTGACTAACAGTCCTCTCAGACGTGGCTGAGCGAGCTGTATCTGGGAACCTCATCTGCTTTCGTGACTAACAGTCCTCTCAGACGTGGCTGAGCGAGCTGTATCTGGGAACCCTCATCTGCTTTCGTGACTAACAGTCCTCTCAGACGTGGCTGAGCGAGCTGTATCTGGGAACCCTCATCTGCTTTCGTGACTAACAGTCCTCTCAGACGTGGCTGAGCGAGCTGTATCTGGGAACCCTCATCTGCTTTCGTGACTAACAGTCCTCTCAGACGTGGCTGAGCGAGCTGTATCTGGAACCCTCATCTGCTTTCGTGACTAACAGTCCTCTCAGACGTGGCTGAGCGAGCTGTATCTGGGAACCCTCATCTGCTTTCGTGACTAACAGTCCTCTCAGACGTGGCTGAGGGAGCTGTATCTGGGAACCCTCATCTGCTTTCGTGACTAACAGTCCTCTCAGACGTGGCTGAGCGAGCTGTATCTGGGAACCCTCATCTGCTTTCGTGACTAACAGTCCTCTCAGACGTGGCTGAGCGAGCTGTATCTGGGAACCCTCATCTGCTTTCGTGACTAACAGTCCTCTCAGACGTGGCTGAGGGAGCTGTATCTGGGAACCCTCATCTGCTTTCGTGACTAACAGTCCTCTCAGACGTGGCTGAGCGAGCTGTATCTGGAACCCTCATCTGCTTTCGTGACTAACAGTCCTCTCAGACGTGGCTGAGCGAGCTGTATCTGGAACCCTCATCTGCTTTCGTGACTAACAGTCCTCTCAGACGTGGCTGAGCGAGCTGTATCGGGAACCCTCACCTGCTTTCGTGACTAACAGTCCTCTCAGACGTGGCTGAGCGAGCTGTATCGGGAACCCTCATCTGCTTTCGTGACTAACAGTCCTCTCAGACGTGGCTGAGCGAGCTGTATCTGGGAACCCTCATCTGCTTTCGTGACTAACAGTCCTCTCAGACGTGGCTGAGCGAGCTGTATCTGGGAACCTCATCTGCTTTCGTGACTAACAGTCCTCTCAGACGTGGCTGAGCGAGCTGTATCTGGGAACCCTCATCTGCTTTCGTGACTAACAGTCCTCTCAGACGTGGCTGAGCGAGCTGTATCTGGGAACCCTCATCTGCTTTCGTGACTAACAGTCCTTGGCTGAGCGAGCTGTATCTGGGAACCTAACCTGCTTTCGTGACTAACAGTCCTCTCAGACGTGGCTGAGCGAGCTGTATCTGGGAACCTCATCTGCTTTCGTGACTAACAGTCCTCTCAGACGTGGCTGAGCGAGCTGTATCTGGAACCCTCATCTGCTTTCGTGACTAACAGTCCTCTCAGACGTGGCTGAGCGAGCTGTATCGGGAACCCTCACCTGCTTTCGTGACTAACAGTCCTCTCAGACGTGGCTGAGCGAGCTGTATCTGGAACCCTCATCTGCTTTCGTGACTAACAGTCCTCTCAGACGTGGCTGAGCGAGCTGTATCGGGAACCCTCATCTGCTTTCGTGACTAACAGTCCTCTCAGACGTGGCTGAGCGAGCTGTATCGGGAACCCTCACCTGCTTTCGTGACTAACAGTCCTCTCAGACGTGGCTGAGCGAGCTGTATCGGGAACCCTCATCTGCTTTCGTGACTAACAGTCCTCTCAGACGTGGCTGAGCGAGCTGTATCTGGGAACCCTCATCTGCTTTCGTGACTAACAGTCCTCTCAGACGTGGCTGAGCGAGCTGTATCTGGGAACCTCATCTGCTTTCGTGACTAACAGTCCTCTCAGACGTGGCTGAGCGAGCTGTATCTGGGAACCCTCATCTGCTTTCGTGACTAACAGTCCTCTCAGACGTGGCTGAGCGAGCTGTATCTGGGAACCCTCATCTGCTTTCGTGACTAACAGTCCTTGGCTGAGCGAGCTGTATCTGGGAACCCTCATCTGCTTTCGTGACTAACAGTCCTCTCAGACGTGGCTGAGCGAGCTGTATCGGGAACCCTCACCTGCTTTCGTGACTAACAGTCCTCTCAGACGTGGCTGAGCGAGCTGTATCGGGAACCCTCATCTGCTTTCGTGACTAACAGTCCTCTCAGACGTGGCTGAGCGAGCTGTATCGGGAACCCTCATCTGCTTTCGTGACTAACAGTCCTCTCAGACGTGGCTGAGCGAGCTGTATCGGGAACCCTCATCTGCTTTCGTGACTAACAGTCCTCCAGTTCGTTGAGTTTTGTCAGCATTTGCGGCTGACTTGTGCCACCTAATTTGTGTATCAAGAGTAAAGTTCGTAATTTAAAAGAATACAGTTTTTAAAAATTGTGTGTGTTTGTGTGTGTGCGCACGTGCCATGGAACACTTGTGGGGGTCAGAGGATAGCTTCATGCATTTGGTTTTTCCTACCTGTATGTGATTTCTGGAGAGTGAACTCAAGGCATCAGGCTTCCGAGGCAGAAACCTTTACCTGCCGCACTTCACTGGCCCTCGAGGTTATCAGTTTTAGCTTTTGATCCAATGCAAATTTTTCTCAACCAGAAGAACCAGCCTTAAATATTACTCTGGAATACTGAATAACCTCAGAAATTAACTTCATAAAGACTTGGGACTTGATGTCTTTTAGAAGTTCTGTATTTTGGGGTATGTGTTACAAGGGCCGAGGGAATTGTCGCCACATCAAACTATTTACAGCAGTAAAGGAGCTTCCACCAGGAAAACTAGAACCTACTCATGTACCCTGTAATGACAGATAATCAGGAAAAGAATGTAATCCTCTTGAAAAGGCCTTCCTACTCCTCCCAGAAGCCTGGGCTTGCCAAATGAAAAGCCCAGTGGCAGGTGTGGGACACGCCCCCTTGAGCTGTAATGGTACGCTGGAAACTCAGAAGACAGGACAGGCTTTCGCCATTGCTCTTGGTTGCCCACCAGAACTTGACGGTAAGACCTTTCGCTAGAGACACCACATACCTTGGTCATAAGACATGTAGAAGTCTAGCTGATACCAGGAAGTTCCCTCCCTCCTTGTGAGCTGTCATAGCTTTGTAGGCTACTGTGGGTAGAGGGGGAATGTCAAAGTTTTACTCAGACATGAACAATGATGACCAGGTTGGCCAGGTATGCCCAAGGGTGTGACAGCATGAATGTCATGGAGGTAAGCAACGGCTTTCCAACTGGCCTTAAGGCCTGCTCCACACGAGAAAACTCATGACTTGCACTATAAATCTGGCCCAGAAGCCATGGTTGGGGGGCTGATGGGTACCAAGAGTAGAATCTACTATTAGTCTGCTAAACGGATGTAATATCAAACTGCAGTCTAAATTCTTCTCTGTATATCCATAGATTAGCACAGCGCTCGAACTTCAGTGGGAAAGTTTCTTTGTATAGGGAATGATGATTAAGGCAGAAACTCATAACTGAACGCTCAGCTATGACTAGGACATCAATATTACCGCCACTACCACCCCCAAAGCTCAAGGACCATCACAGAAGAGGGGGCAAGAAGATTGAAAGAGCCAAAGATCAGGGGGACGAAAGGAAAACGGTGTTATCTGCAAATGACAGGAACACTGAGCTCATCTGTGGTTGCTTGCATGAGATAAAGTTAGTCAACATTCTAAGGGAGGAGGTAGTGTGAGCTCCCACCCGTAGCTTAAGAGCTATGGATAGAGGATAGCTTCTGGAAAAGGGTTCTTTTTATTTTATTTTTAAGGATGATATCACTGGTAGATCAGCCATGCTCCACTCCTAGGAGTTAACACAAACTGGATGTGGTGGGTTACTACAGACAAAAGACATGAAGTTGGGACAGGGTACGGGGGTAGTCTCGGAAGGGTAATGTGGAGGTGAATATGATCAAAATATATTGTATGAAATTCTCAAGGAATTAATACATTTTAAAATATCTTCCAAGTTATAAATAAACTTGGTTAATGTTCTAGTTTCATTTATGTTGCTGTGGGAGAAAGCAACTTATGGGGGAAAGAGGTTTACTTCAGCTAATACTTTGAGACTGGTTCATCAGTGTAAGGAAGTCAAGGCAGGAAGTTCAGGTAAGGAGCTGAGCCATCCTCAGGGAGCAGCAGAGAGAAATGAATGCCTGTGTACTTGTACTCACCTTGATTTTTCTACTTAGCTCAGGACCCCTGCCTAGGCAAGGGTGCTACACGCAGGCCAACCCAATATAGACCAGTCCATCATTGACACTTTAGCCAACCATCATAGTTGATACTGGATGTTCATGGGTTAAGACCAATATTTGACAGAATTAGCCCATTTGAAAAGAGAGTTGTAAAGATAAAATGTGTAGACCCTCATTACAGATGGTTAATAAATGTTAATTTCGATAATGTAAAACAATCAGGCCTCCAATTAAAGATGTTTTTGGGTTGCCCTGTCATGATCTTTACCGCCCCCCTCATATGATCCCTTCTCCCTCCCTCTCCTCGACTGGACCCCAGAGGTCAGTCCAGTGTTTGTTCATGGATCTCTGCATGTGCTTCTATCAGTTAATGGACAAAGGTTCTATGATGACAAATTTGGTTAGTCGCCAGTCTACTGGAGGTCAGTTCAGGCACCCTCTCCACCATTGGTAGGAGTCTTAGCTGTCATCCTGTGGATTCCAGGGAATTTCCCTAGCACCAGGTTTCTCCCTAACCCCATAATGGCTCCTTTCTCTCTATCAAGAGATCTCTTTCAGTCAGACAATGGTGGCACTCTTCTTTAATCCCAGCACTCAGAAGGCAGAGGCAGATGGAGATCTGTGAGCTCAAGGCCATCCTGGTCTACAGAGTTCCAAGACAGCTAGAGAAACCCTGTCTCTGTCTCGAAAAACAAAACAAACAAACAAACAAAAGATCTTTTATTGTCCCTCTGTGTCCCTCCCACAACTCGACCTCATGTTTTCATCCCCATTCCCTCCCCTCTACCCCTCTTCACCCCAGTTTATCCAGGAGATCTCACCTATTTCCCATTCCTAGGGCGATTCACGCATCCCTCTTAAGAGTCTTCCTTGTTACCTAGCTTCTCTGGGGCTGTGGATTGTTATCCTTTGCTTTTTATCTAATATCCACTTATGAGAGAGTACATACTGTGTTCGTCTTTCTGGGTCTGGGTTTCCTCACTAAGGAGGATTTTTTTCTAGTTCCATCCTCTTGCCTGCAAATTTCTTGATGTCATTGTTTTTTTTTTTCCCAGCTGAGTAATAAATAGTTCATTGTGTAAAAGTATCACATTTTCTTTATCCATTCTTTGATTGAGGAGCATCTAGGTTGTTTCCATGTTCTGGGTATTACAAATTATATTGCTATGAATATAGATAGTTGAGCAAGTATCTTTGTGGTATGTTTGAGCATTCTTTAGATATATATATTCAAGTAAGGACTTCTAAGGCAGATGCAAAACAAAGCCTGAAAGCCTTTGAAACATTTATCAATTAGCTCATTACCTTTAGATACATTAATTTCTGCATCCAAGTGCAGTGAAGTCCTAACCATAGGTTCATTGCTTCATTTCTTTCATCAGATTTACAGATTGGATTTAAAACCACGAATTCTCAAGTATCAAAAACATAATATAAGGAATGATAGGCACACTGAAGAGTGTCAGAACTAGATCTGGATTAAGAACTAACCTGTTACCTTGAAAAGCTATGTTCCGTACCCAGGAGTCTATGCCTCAGACTCACACAAGCTTGGGATACTCCGTGACTATCCTATCCACATCCCAACTCGAGGCAAAACCAAGGTACAATGAAAGTCCTTGAGGTTTCGGTGGAAAACTACATCAGCCTGCAAATTATACACAGAGAAATCTCACTTCAGTGCTGCCTTTTCCAGTCTCAGCATCTCATCATAAAATGAGCTCATGTTGGTAGTGAAAGGTGCCATTGATGTATTAAATTTTATTAGCTTACTTCTTTGAATTTGCTATGAAAGCGGAGGAATGCTGGGCTCTGGTGTATCATGAGAGCTGTACTAGGCTTGCCTCACTTTGCACTGCACAGAGCAGGCACGGAGTCTCTCACTGCCGAGGGAGCGTCATCATCCCAGGCCAGGCTTCACTCCACACATCCTGCTGGGAGGGAATGTGTCCGTTTGTCT